CTACTTGCAACTAAAGGAGACAGAGCGGCAATTAATTATGAAATTGCCCGGACCAAATCGCTACTCAGTTTGTTAAATTAAAAATCACAGTGCACTTTGGAATATTAGGAAGTAAGGCTGTGTACGCATTGAAGAAATCCTTAGACTATTTACTTGTGCAAATAATAAATATGCTTACTTATTGACGATGTGAAAATTGCCTAGCGCTATCTTGAAAACGTTTCGGAAATGTTATAATTTACCTTTGCTCATTATCGTTTGATGAGATATGTTTTATCTGTATTTGTTGTCTGGCAATGTTTTTATATCATCAGATATAAAACTCTGATGCTTAAGCCTAAGAATATCACTTTGACTTATAAAAGTGTCTCTAACGTACTTTGTGTGCATTTAGCCTAAGCTTGTTTGTGCTTCAGACGAGATTCATCGCCGGCATCAAGATGGCGAGCTCACTAATTGCTCACAGGACTTGGACGTTTATTACCGTAATATTTGACTTAGCTACTGCGAGATGTTTCTTAAAGTGACGCCTGTCGTAATAACACAATTAGTGGCAGTTTACTAACCAGCTCCATTGCACTGTTCGGCGTGACTCGAAATGTGCTCGCACAAATATAAATTTTACCGAACCGCTATATAATCTGTAAAAAGCCGAACGTGGCCAATGGAAATAAAACGAGAAAAGCACATTACGAATTGGAAAAGCATTGAAAAGGATTCCATCATAAGCGGATTGTTCGTGATTAATTTATGTAATTCGCAAAATTTATCGCTCGTTCCATAGTCTATCGCAATTTTAATCTTTAGTCTATTCTGGGACTTAGGTAATAACTTTATACCGTACAATTTAAAAGTAACGTAGATCCATAAAAAGATTCTCAAGTGTTCTAAAATGTGGAAGTGTTCTAAAGGATAAACAATAATTTGCGAATATCTAATACCTTTAAACGATTCGGGGGCGTAAAATCGATCTAGCTAGGTTTCATTTTTAGAAAATGTCCTTTTATCCCTGTTTTCAGGGAATGAAAAATGTCATTCGAATATGACTGTAAATTTCGTCGAAAAAAAATGTTATAATAGCTCGGTCGGTTATCGGGCGGCCCCAGAACAGAAGGCCGCGGTTCGTGTCACGGTCATTTACACACTATTTTTTTTACTTTTTTTCTAGAACAGATCATTGCTTCCTATATTTTTTATTTTTTTAATTTCCAAAATACACAATTTACCAAAAAAAAAAAGGTCCTCCAGGTACTAATCTGTAAACTAATCTGTAAAGCAATTTATTAGTACAGAGCACTTTCGAATTTCTTGTATTTCTCCGGGAATTTTAGACTTCAAAAGTCCCGGCTATCTTGCTGGAAAACGGCTCGCACCTTTTCAATTTAACTTCGCACTCCTCTAAGCTGTTTACAAGTTGACTTGTGGACTTTATAAATGGATGATGTCTGTGATATTTTCCGTTATATTTAGTTGAAACAATCGAGCGTACTTTTACTGTTGTCACTGCTGATATTCAGCAATATTGACAATTTAATTTTACATAGATGTACTCTCAATAATATTTTCAATGTGTTTCGGATCTAGTGCGCCTGATAATAATCATATGCTAGGTATCGGCAACAGGTTTCAGGACACGGAAGGCTTTATAATGGCTTATATTTAAAAACTAAGAAAGAAGGAAAGAAAGAAAATACATTCATTTACCACAATCAAATAAACGAACACTGTAAAAGAGAAAAAAAAATTTAATAATTCAATAAAGCAAGAGAACACAAATACATAATTAAAATATAAAACAAATGAAAAAGAACATCCATTATATTAGCCGTAGGACGTCCACTGCTGAACATAGGCCTCACCATTGACTTCCGCTTCGACCGGTCGTTAGCGGCCTGCATCCAACGCGTCCCTGCGTTCTTGGCTAGGTCGTCCGTCCACCTTGTGGGAGGGCTTCCTACGCTGCGCTTGCCGTCACGTGGTCTCCACTCGAGAATCTTTTGGCCCCAACGGCCATCGGTTCTTCGAGCTATGTGCCCTGCCCACTGCCACTTCAGCCTGCTGACTCGCTCTGCTATGTCGGTAACTCTAGTTCTTCTACGGATCTCCTCATTTCTGATTCGATCTTGTAGAGAAACCCCGAGCATTACCCTTTCCATAGCGCGCTGTGCGATCGCGAGCTTCCTAATGAGGCCCATAGTGAGAGACCACGTCTCGGCACCCTAGGTCATCGCTGGTAGCACGCACTGGCTAAAGACTTTCGTCTTTAAGGACTGTGGTATTTTGGACGTAAAGACGCTGCGCAATTTCCCGAACGCAGCCCAGCCGAACTGGATTCGTCGATTGACCTCCTTCAATTAACAAACCAAAAATGTTGTACGCCCTATTCCTTAGTATTTAGGTAAAGAGAGGTAGAGTTGACGGCTTATAATAAAAGAAATTGTACTTTGGACCTGACGTAAAGAAAATAAGCCACAGTTATATTTCATGTTTGACCGATCTAACGAGCACTAAAAGACGACAGATTTCGCTAACATTGCTATGAATATATAAATAAAGAAATATGACTAATTCCAAGGAAACGGTGTTCGAACCATCACCGAGAAGCTTTTGTAATACTATCCTTACTCATATTATAAAGGCGAAAGTTTGTATGTTGGATGGATGTTTGTTACTCTTTCACGCAAATACTAGGTACTGAATGGATTTTAATGAAACTTAACAATAATATAGCTCACACATCAGAATAAGACATAGGCTATAATTTATATACATTGTTTATGTATATCTGTCTTTCTGTCTGAATGTTACTTCAGCCAATTCTACATAGAGGTACGTCGCGGGCAGCAGCTAGTATATAATATAATATATATATATATATATATATATATATATATATATAACAAGGTATTATTAAATTGTTATACTAAATACTCGAAGTGACTAAAAATTTAATTAAATTATCGTAAAAGTACACTGGAACCGCAAGGATTACGTTTTCATTGCTTCTTTCATTTAACCTCACATGTTAACATGTAAAACAAACCATATAATTCAAAAGGTAAACATTGTTTGCTTGTTATAACGACTATTCGTATTTAGTGTAGCTACTAATACTCCGTAGCTCGCTTTGCCGTCGCGAAAGCGTTTTGTGGGTCTATGGTGGAGATAAGCTGAGGGTCTATGGTGGAGATAAGCCGAGGGCGTCGGGCCCCTTTCTCTCGCCGGGCGCAATGTAATTGGGATAACGGGGAGCGCAACTAAACAACTCAGCTTCGGGATTGTCTATTTAATAGGTTCACTATGTTCATCAGACAGTATTTTTCCAGTAGTGGGGATCGAACCCACACCATTTGGCCCAAGAGGCAGGATCGCTACTTTCTACGCCAATCGGATCGTCGAACAAACTAATAAATGAAATCGAAAAAATAATACAAGATAATAAAACAATTTAAAGAAAATAGATCTTGTGTTTGATCTCAAAAAGGGAATAAGTATACACCATAAAAACGTTACTACGTTATGCGGCACTCAGAATTTTTCCAATGTTCACCAAAACAGTTAATATTTTTAATTCGGCTTCATTGCCTTGATTGAAGACATTGTCCCCCGTTTTGTTTTCGTCATGAATGGTTTTCAAATTTTATTTTATGATTTCTTTGTATCGTATTGAAAATTTTGTATAGTGTAAAAAAGGTTTAATTCCATAATCGTAGAAAATAATGGACGGTGCAAACACTTCCATTATCATCGGTATTTATTTTATTTGTTTACTAATTTAACATCTTTTAATACCAACATGTAATTGCATACATTCAAGACATTTTAAAAGAAGAGTGACAAGATTATTTACCCCGATCATGTGATCGTATGGGCGGAGTTTAGAGGAACTTTAAAAAGCATAATTTACACAAATCCAATCCACCATCGCACTCGTGTTTCCCCAGCAATCTCATTCACATTACACCACTTCCTAATTTCGCAATTCGATGCCGCTGAAGTAACGCTATTTAGCATCAGGAATGCTATAAATTGAAGAACGGTCCATGTTATATTTAGCGGAAGACTTTAACGTGGGGTAAGCTCGCGAACGAGGTTATGTCGGCAATAATAGCATATCCAAACGTGTTTCGATTATCCGAAATTGCGTTTATTAACAAATTTTTCATCGAACCGATTCATTGTCAATTTTGATTGATGTCATTTTAATTAGAATTAAATTTGTTAAGCGATCGGTTTCCAATGTTTATTGACTAAAAATTGAGTCATTTAATATGAATGAAAATATTGTTAGTACGAGACATAATTATGCAGCGAAAGTGCTCTGTTTGTTCTCTCTGCTCTATCGGGGGATGAAGGAAGCGGTACTCGACGGCACGTCCAAGAAGCCATACTACTTTCAGTGTTGTAATACTCGTATACCCAAAGCGGATAATGGCTGGATCTAGTGCAGCGCGAAAGAAAAACACGGCCGGGCTTTCTGTTGTTGCCAAGCGTACAATGCGCGTCAGAAATAACTGGTTAATGCTGACGCGCCGTTGGAGCCAACGTTGGTGCCAAGCGAATCACATGATTCACATTTTAGGCGGGTCACGAGTGACTCCCACATGCGTACGCAGCGTTAACGTTAATTCCGGCGGCCTCTGGCGGACTAAGGTGTTCGGTGATGAGTGAACGAACACTGTTATCGGGCGAATCGCTACTTATCGCGGTTGGTCCACGGAACGCAACGCGAGTGAAGCCATCGAAATCGGCTTCCTTGCGAGTGTGAGTGCAGCACAAAAATCTGATGACACCGGAGATCGATCCTCCGCGCTCGCGTTTGAAAACAAAATGCTCAAGAGCTTTCGGGTGGCGTGTAAATAATTGTAATAGGCGCGTAAAAATAGAATGTTTTCGCGCGCGAGGCCATGCAGACGGCGCGCACGCGGTCGCCACGCTAGCAGAGCGATAGTCGGCGCGCGCACTAGATTTAGGCCTAATTCGCATCACGGGCTCACAGGATGTTGGCCCTTATCGACATTGTTAAATACTCGAGCGTCTGCTCGCGGCACGGCGTTACATTTAACCACTCAAGTGATACTACGGTTCTGAGCAATGGAGATAGAGTTGAAAATCGTGCGTCATCGCCGTGTCCCCGAAACAGCCTACCGCTGGCCACTGTCTCATGGTGTGAATACATCCTCGGTCGCCTGGTACCTGTCGAACCCGTGACCGGCGGACTTTGCGTCGATGCAGCGTCGGAGGTGGCCGCGCCGCACCGCTGACGCGCGCCCAATAAAATTAATCTTCGGCCGGCATCCGAAACTGTGTCAGTTATTCACATTCTCTATTTTTGTGTGCTATTCGCGTTCGATGTTTATTTGTGCTGGCGACACTATTCGTTTCCCGCGGAACCGTTTGGTGCCGCGTACGGGCCCTATTGGGGGCAATGCCGCACCGGCGCGCGCGCACACGACCCGGCCGGCGCCGTGACACGCGTTAATGGCTAAAGTCATGCGGAGGAGAATGTTTATCTCGCGTTATTTGTCTTCGTTATTATCATAACTAAGTGGGATTGTGTCGGGAATTATGTCACATTTGCAACGTTCGCAGTATGAATCTGTTTTACGGAACACGTTAGCACATCGGAGTATAGTACGGTGACCTCTGAAGTTGTTCGTTAAATCGAAATATGTTAGTAGATCAAGTTTTACCGGCAAGTTGTTTTCAGTTGTATCACTCGTATGTGATATTTTGTAAATAAACTATCCAGCTAAATGATTCCGGGAAATTTAATTTCGTTGTTTGATATTGAATATCTATTTCGCGGATTCCCTGTAAAGGCTTCACCCTTCATTGCACAAGGTCCACCGTCAATAAATATGTGTTGTCATAGAGCAATACAAATTCTGCTTATTGAACATATTCCTATTCAAATTTGCAGTGAACGCTACCACGATATTCCTTTGACTGTTGTTTATGGCGGCATTAGTTGAATATTGACCGAGCTATCTTTAGCTCCCCGTACTCTGTGATCTTGCACACAAATGAGCAAGTGAAACAATTCTGGCGCGTCACCGACCGCGATACAGCCCGGCACAAAAAGCGAGTCGATCCTTTGATCGAATAGGTGTGGAATATCATTGTTTTGCTTCGTTAGAACTTTGCAAAACACCATGAACATAAATAGTATTAAACGGCCTCAGAATCTTAACTGTAATGTGGAGGCTAGGCTCGCTAGGCTCGGCTTTATGAGGACCACATTTATTTACTTAAACACTTTGCACAATTTCGTACAATGGCGGACTTAACACCGTTAGGTGTTCTCTACCAATCAACCGACAAAGGAAGAAAACAAGGAGGTGCGAAAGAGCCAGATGAGAAGAAGTGAAGAATATGATTTTATATAAAATATAACATACATAATATACATAGTTATATAGTTAAAAATATTTAGTGTGATCAATCAACGGGCAAATATGATTTTATATAAAACTAGCTGACCCGACAAGCGTTGTTATCCCATATAAATTATTTGTAGGGAAAAAAAATGTTTGGGGTGGACCACCCTTAACATTTAGGGGGATGAAAAATAGATGTTGTTCGATTCTCCACCCTGGCCGATATGCACTCAAAATTTCATTCATTCGAAAATCGGTCAAGTAGTTTCGGAGGAGTTCAATTACAAACACCGTGACACGAGAATTTTATATATTAGATATAACATACATAATATAAATAATAGTTATATAGTGTAGTAGTAGTATAGTGTAGTTAAATATAAATAATATTGTGATCAATCAACGGGCCCGTCGCTTCGCATGCCCAACGCGCGTAAAGTCTCAACGTTATTGATGATCGCCACAGTTTGAAACGCGCAATTAATGGATCGGTGACATTTGTTTTGAGTTTGGAAACGTAACGAATGAATTATTCAGACTTAATGCCAAGTGTCGAGCTGCAAATGCACTTTCTTTATTGATGACGCTGTTATTTGGCCCGAAAGCTCTCAATCTTCTTTCTGATAACGGAACTGGAATAAATGTGGTTAGATCGAATTTGTTCATATGAAAGCCATACGACAAGTTTCTTTTAACTTCAGTTCCTTATCCTTCTTTTTAAAATTTTGTACGGTGTCTCTTCAGGAACTGTGGTAGGTTTTTAGACTTTTTATATGGTGAATATAAATAGGTAATATTAAAACAACTTCTTATGTCATTTTTTAGTTCTTGTGAAATTATATAAATTCATGTTTATGCGTTACGTTAACTTCATTGTAGAATATTATTTGAATTGAAATTTCTATAAAAATTTTCTAGAGTTGGAGTGTAAGAACTCCGGAAAAGTACTGTATTACAAAAAATGAAACTTCTTTATCGATCCAAAGATTGGCTCGGTGACATGAAAACATATTTTTATCCACTGATTATTCGCTTATTCTATACCTATAGTAAAATATATGAATTACTAATTCAGTTTTATATTCTACATTCTTGCAATTTATTTCGCATGTCATTGTTAATAATAAAACTGAATCTATTTCTCAAAAAAATATTATTTTGATTGGGTTAGTGTTAAACACTTCCATAGGAGAACAGAAGGCTTATCGCACAGAAAAGAAGCTGTGTAAGTGGTCACCAACGCTGTTGAAAGTCGTCTCATTGGATTATATTATAACCATTAAAGCATATTCACTTTCATTATGTGACTATGGTTCACAATTTCTAAAACATACTAACTATAATTTTGATAACTAGTTATATTACTATTGTTCCATTGTTATTTTTTATATAATTATTGCATATACATTAACAATACCAGTAATTTACGTTTCACTATCACATGAATTCAAATATATATTGACGTAACCTAAACCTTGTCTGTGGTTTTTGAAATTAATTAATGAAGTTTTGAGCAATATCAATTGCGATTAAATTAATGATATTTACTTAAAATGTGTTTTCGGCTTTCATTGCTTAAATTAAATATCAGTATAATGTTTAATTAAATACGAGCCTTTCTATAAATAAAAGATTACAGCTGGCAGCATATATATATACTTTTTGGTTTTATTTTAATTTTTATGTAATATGTTTAACATAAAATTTCCATTTTCAAAATATTGAATTTGTTACCACGCGATATATAAATAACGGTATATAAATTACTTAATTAAAGAGGAAAATATTTCTGTCTAAGAAGATAATATCTTTCTACTCTTATTCAAGCATAATTTTTATTAAGATTCTATTGGCGGCTTATAACATATTATAATGAGATACAACTCCTCGTTGAAAATCCCTGAGAGTACTAAACCAATCCGAAAAGCATTTAAACAGGAAAACCTGCTTTATTCCGGAATAAAATAGGGTAAACCTTATTTAATATATATATATATATACTACTAACTTAGAATATGTTTTATTCAAAAAGTTCAATGATAGAATTCTCAATATTCGTAAATCGAGTGGTTAGGAAAGGGGAAGAGTTGGCATTTTGAGGGTTAGTATTATAAGGAAATACAATCATCTGATAATCTGAATTATTGAAGTATCTCACATGCATTTGGGCAAATTGTAATTTGAAGCTGGCTATTGTACTATAAGCACGTTATTTTAAAAGTAACTACGTGAGCTCATTTTAATGCCCGCTCACCAATTAACCGGTGCTTAGCGCATAGACAACAGTAGCGCATTAAAATTGTGTCGTTTCATGGGCCTCCATTTATAGGGTTCCGTACCCAATGGGTAAAACGGAACGCTGTCTGTCTGTCTCTCTCTCTGAACCGTGATATTTAGACAGTTTAAATTTTCACAGATGATGTATTTCTATTGTCGCTTTAACAAGAAATACTAAAAGAGAGAATAATAAAAAATATTTAGGAGGGATTCCCATACAAACGACATCATTTTTTGACGTTTTTATAAATAATGGTACGGGGCCTTTTGTGCGCGAATCCGACTCGCACTTGTCCGGTATTTATTTTCAAATATGAATATTAAAATGCGAGGCTAGACCATTGTAAAGCGACGCAGAAGTGGAGCTTTACTCTCTTGTCCATTTACTCAAACTGCAGGTTTAATGCAATTTATTCGTGGGTTTTTACCCTCATTTATACCTCATGTGTATCGCGAATCTAAAATGTAGAAACGATCTACGAACTCTGGCGTTGTGTGTGACCATGAGCGGTGGTGACCATAAAGAGGTCTGACTATGTTGAACTGCCTTGTTCAGTTGCTATTCCTTTGACTCGGAAAAGGAAAAAACATTTGCTGACTTGAACGACTTTAACTTGAAAAATGAAATTTTTAAAATTGGAACACACTAAACGTATTGTGCGAACGAATCGTCCGCTCTTTTCAACGGGGTGGTAGAGTGCGGTCCAACGCTCCGTCAACTCGATGTGGAGAGTACGCGGGAAAATGGGCGTCCGGTGCGCGACGATCGCTGCCGATGAATGGGTGCGATACGAGGAAACGATTCACGAGTTACCTAAACACCTGCTACTATGCGAAGTGCGTGCCCGCAGCGATCGCTTGCGTCAGCCGCGGCCCGCGACCTCTACCCGCGAACTAATTATTGCCCGATTACCGCTCAGGGCTGACGTCGACCCAAAACAGCATGCCGACGATGACAGTTTTTTAAAGCTACGAACACAGTTTTTTTTAATCCGTAGATAGATGGGCGAAAAGTCTTTTGCCGCCGCGGATATCGAAGCCGCGCTTCCGTCCATTTTTATAAAAATTAAATAAAAGTAATTGTATTTGTAGCTTTAAAAAATGTATTTATATATTTACATACGTAAACGATCATGCCTGCGATCCAAAGGTACCAAGTTCATTGTACATATTGTTTCTCTCCATATCGTCACGTGAGTTGCGGGCCCTTTTATGTTACATGCCCATCAACGAAGAGAATAGAGAATACTTTATTGTTACACTTATTATTTTACGGTTGTCCTCTCTGTGACATCTATTACAATTTATTTTACGGAAAAGCTATTCCTACATTTACTCCGTCATCATGATATCGCATTCAATTTATCGGCCTCCGTTTCGTTCAGAGATAGGTGTGTGGAGAACTTTGACCGTAAGGTTAAAATGGCAACCGGTGGCCGAAATCGGTCCGTCGTTCGTCACAATTAATTATTTTACTCGGCATGTTTTAAGATGTCTTGCTCGTGCTAATGTTGCGACTCGAAACCATGTGTTATGTATTCGATTATCTCTATTTTCAATCAAGATTAACGTCAACCTCTCCTGTCTTTTCCAGTCCTTTTTAT